AACTTCTCCTTTAACTCCTCTCACTTTCTGTCTCTTCCTGGGACATTCCTTGTTCCAATCCTATCCTGGCCCTCACCCAGAACTGTTTCTCCGATATAGCAATGATATCATTGGTGCTGCTTCCCTCTCTTTTCCGAAATTGGAAATGTTCATTGATTTCGCTTCCAATTTCCACCCTGCCCTCACTTTCACCTGGTCTATCTCTGAATCCTCCCTTCCCTTCCTCAACATCTCTGTTTCCATTTCTGGGGATGGACTGGCCACTAATATCCACATTAAACTCACCAGCTCCCACAGCTACCTGGACTATAAATCCTCACACCCCACTTCCTGTAAAGACTCCATCCCATTCTCTCAGTTCCTCCGTCTCCGTTGCATATGTTCAGATGAGGCCAACTTCAACAAGGCAGCATCCAAAATATTCACCTTCTTCCTCAACCAAGGATTCCCCAGCACCGTTGTCAACAGGGCCCTCAACCAGGTCCGACCCATCTTCAACACTTCCGCCCTCACCCCCTTCTCTTCCCTTCCGTAACAGCAATAGGGTTCCCCTTGTCCTTACTTAACATCTCCCCACGATCCACATCCAGAAGATCATCAGACGCCATTTCCACGACCTCTGGCAAGATGCCACCACCAGACATATATTCACCTCCCATGCCTTATCCACCTTCTGCAGGGACCGTTCCCTCTGGGACATCCTGGTCCACTCTTCCTTCACTCCCAACACTGCCCCACAGCCCCACAGCACCTTCCCCTGCAACCGCCGAAGGTGTAACACCTGCCTATTTACCTCCTCCCTCCTCAATATCCAAGGGCCCAAACATACCTTCAAGGTGAAGCAGCACTTCACATGCACTTCCCAGAATTTAGTCCACTGCATTCACTGCTCACAATGTGGTCTCCTCTAAATTGGGGAAACGAATCGCAGTAGCCACTTCGCAGAACATCTATGTTCGGCTCGCAAAAAAGACTCTGAGCTTCCATCAGCCTGCCACTTCAACACACCACCCTGTTCCCTGGTCAACATCTCTGTCTCAGGCTTGCTGCAGTGTTGCAGTGAAGCTCAACGCAAGCTGGAAGAACAACACCTCATTTTCCACTTGGGGACCCTGCAGCCCTCTGGACTGAATATTGAGTTCATTAATTTTAGGGCTTAAACTCTCCCATGCTTTAGTCCCTACCCCACACACCAGGCCTTATTATCAAATAGCCTGCCGTTACACAGTACCTATTGTTAGTCACTAACAGTCCCTATTACAGCTATTCACCTTCCTAGCCAGATGATTATCAACTCCTTTGTATACCCAATTGTTCTTCCCTCTCTTTGGGGTCTATCTCCACCTATTGTTTATTTCTTACCCCCTCCCTCCATTCTATCTTCTGCATACAAACTGACATTTTCCTGGCTACCATCAGTTCTGAGGAAGGGTCCCCGGACCCAAAACGTTAACTTTGATTTTTCTTCACTGATGCTGCCAGACCTACTGAGCTTTTCCAGTAACTTCTGTTTTTGATCCTGATTTACAGCATCCACAGTTCTTTTGGTTTTTATTTACCAGAAGACACTAGTTTATTTTGAGGAGTAAGTGGTTTAGAGGAGATCTGAAAAAAAAGTTTCACCCAGAGGGTAGTAGAAACATGGAAAGTGCTGTCTGAGAAGGTGGTGGAGGCAGGTACTCTCACAACATTTAAAAAGCATCTGGACAAACATTTAAAATGCCAGCTATGGACCAAATGCAGGGAAATGAGATTAGCGTAATTTGGTGTTTATTGGTTGTCTTAGATATGGTGGGCCAAAGGGGCCTGTTTCTAAGCTGTATGACTTGATTGCAAGGAAGCGTGTCTAATAGCTAGATGTTTTGCAGTATTTCAAGAGTCAAAAACAAAAATATTTATAACCTGAAGTCTCAATTGGTGCAATTTGCCTGCATTTCCGCATTGGTGCAAAGTAGATTGGTGGTAGAAATATGATGCTAGAAATCCAGAGTGAATCCTGATGTTAATCAGAAATGGAATAGAATGAGGTCCAGTCAGAAAAGCTGTCTCTAATCACTCGGGCTTAACACCACATACAGGATACTTCTAATTGCAGTATTAAACTAGGTTAATCAAATTGTTCAATGGGTTAGTTATACCTCCTGGGCACTCTGTAAATTTAGGCTGAGCCTTTTCTTAAAAAAAAAGCAACTGCTCCTTGAAACCAAATTTCCTGCCTGCAGTGTAAGTTTGCTAACTGGTGTTTGGGACCCCTATGCATTCCCACGCTGAGGTTTCTTATGGCGGTCACATCTTTTAAAAGGGGTCTTAAAGTTATAATTTGCCTTATGTACCTCAGGATCTCTGAGTGGTCAGTGCAATGTTACCACAGCAAAAGGGGTCAAGAAGCTAGAAATATTAACTTACTCTGCAAGAACGTCATAAACTGTATGCTATTGCTAGTAATTGTTTTAACTCTCTTTTGACATAATATTAGGTTGGTGGTCAAATGTCTGAGTCCAGGGTAAACCATTTCAAGAGGATGAATTATGTACTTCCTGTGTTTGCAAAAGTCTACACTGTGGTAATCCCGGAGCCTTAAACTGACCTCACAGGCTTACCATTGGTCAATATTTAAGGTAGTCTGCTTTCCCACATCAATTGCAAAGCAAACAGATACTTTGATTTCTGATTGGATTCTCCATGATGATGCCACCAACCCTTTATTCCCCATCTGCAACACTTGTGTAATTAATAACTGAAAATTGTTCGAAAGAAAATGAAAAAGGCACACTGATACTAATCCCCCGATGGTGTAACTGGCCACCTTCTGCATTCACTACATTAACCACTTCAACTTCCTGTACCTAAGTGGAAAGCCAACAGGCCTATAATTCCCTATTGGAGTGATTCTCAACTGTCATTCAGATAGCATCCTACTTTATCTAACAATTTTGCAATTCATGAACAAAGGTCTTCAAAGCAAATGATGAGTAAACACTTTTTATCTTGAGTGCACTTATTATTTTTTTACCAGGCTGCTTAAGCTTATCAAATGTAAACGTAAATTGTGCATATAAACTGGAGATTAATCCCCGAGAAGTCCAGGACAATGGTTGGCAACCCCCTGCCAACACCATTTGAGCTAGCTGCCAATTATTTTGTGGCTGCAGTTCAACTCTTTTTTTTCCCTCAATGCCTGCAAGGAAAAAAAAAATTACAGTCTTATAAAAGTTACCTATTTAAGACACAGTAGAAATTTGACCTTTAAGACTTACAAAATTGCCAGGATGTTTGGGTTGAGAAATAAGCTCCTTGACCATGTGTAACAGATTTATAAGATGTCAAACTTTTAGATGGATCATATGGGATGACCCCTTTTAAAACTTTCTTGCTCTCTCTCTTTCCTGGGATTCTCTCAGTATCTGTTGCAATGAAAACCAGGGAGAGTGAATAAATTCCCTGCTTTTCACTTCTGACATCATTTACAATCATGCTTGTGTTTTTTAACAGTTGTGTTTTCAATCCAATTTCTACTCATTCATGTTAAAAGCTTTATGAAGAAATAAACCACGCAGGTAACCACAAGGAGCTTGTTTTACTATAAAATCACTCAAATGAAGTATAAAACTTACTAAAAAAAAACTGTTCCCAATCCTGTGACATACAGACACACTATCATGCATGAGGGAAGAGTGTTGAAAAAGTTAAAACCTATAAGCAAATTAATTACACATTTAAAAGATTTTTTGTGGTCTTGAAGCCCAATGGTTGTGGCTAAGCTGAATGCTTGTTTCTCTGGAGACAATCTCTTTAAAATTGCAGTCTATCATCTTCCTGAGTGGCTGCTATGGTATTATTCTATTCTATATGCTAATAAGGGTGCTATTTTTAAATTATCTATCTCTGTGATGTATTCCAACTTGTAACAGAGATAGGGTCCGAATTTGAAAAACACTGTGATTCCATCCTGCAGGCCTCCTTGAACGTCCTTCTGTAACCAACAGACAGACAAGGGAAGTTTTGGTCAGCTGATTGCTGACTGATGGCCCAAAATAGGGACTAGCATTGCTAATGAAGGAGATCCAATCTCCTTTTGTCATAACTATCAAGATACCATTCAAATAGATTGGGGATTCTTCAGCATTCTTTTGCATAATATATTCTGGTAGATTTCTTTCATCTCTGGTAGTTTTTGCAGACTAGTTGACTGCTGCTTTACTGCCCTTTCTCTTTAACCAGATAGTTCAAACAATGATAACGTACAATTCTATGGGGATTTTCCAGATATGTATTCTATTTATCCATATTGCAGGTTTTTAGAAATTTGGCTGTCTTGTGGGTCAGGAGACCTCTGAAGCCATTTGAAAACATTGTCCTGTTTTATTTAAAATGGTTTTCTTTCAAATTAAAATCCTAGATATTAAATCAGTCAATGAGATTAAAGATTAATAGTCCATATATTGCAACTTCATTATAACACAGCTTTTTTTATTGTCTTATGGGATGTGGGCATCGCTGTCTGGTCAGCAATTACTGTTTGTCTCTAGTTGTCCTTGAAAAGGTTGTGACAGGCATTTCTTTTGGTGTGGATAGTTTTCATGTTTATGTACCCTCTACTACATCATGTTCCATGCACTAATTTTGGTCTACTGTTGCTCAATTTTTGTAATTTGTTTTCCAGCAATACATTACAAATTTATTCCCAATTGCCGCTAGCGAAAACTTTGCACTTCTGAAGAAATGAGATGAAGATTCTTTGGAGTGGGGAGAATTTCAAGTGCAATGCTAATTCGAAGGAGCAGGAAGTTGCTACAAAGGGTAGGTACAACTACTCATGAGGTGTTGTGGCCAAATCAATAACAACTTTTTTTAATTTCAAAATATACTTTACTCAGAAAAGATATCCTTACACATATACATAGTCATAAACGCAGTTCAGTTCTGTACAGTAGCATATCAAATAAACAAGCAAACATTGGAGTTTGACTCTATTCAAACAAACCAAACCCAGGACTTACTTTGACATGCTTCTTCACATCTACCTGAACATCTCAAGAGCCAATCCTTCTTTGATGCCTGTACCTCATAAGACACATTGACTGCACATTGATCAACAGGTACAATGTGAATCCTCCAGGGGTATTGAATATTCATACACCACCTCATTCTCTCCACCTGTTTAGGAGACATGAATCACATAAGGCAGGGTGCAGAACATGAATATATCAATTAAATGCCAATGCCATATTTGCAAGGGACAGCCTCCTGATATTTCATTCGGTTCTGTTCTTTGAAAGAGTCATTTATGTTTGCTATTGGGCATTGGGGTTCCTGATCATAAATTCCAAAGCCAATAATAACATGAAGAGTTTACAGTGAATAAGTGTTCAGATAATGGACATAGAATCATTATTGTGCACCTCAATGGCCAGTATTCTGAAGCTGCCACAATGTCAATGGAGGTTTGGAAGGAAGAGATATGACAGACAAGGTGGATCAAAATAACCAGTAAATAAATCCAAAAGGAGTAAGATAAAATCATGATAATGACCTAATGATGTATCAATAACCAATAGTTATTGTTATCAGGTTCTGGAGGTAGCAATAATTCTGATACTTAACATGGTGTAAAACTATGAACCAGAAAGTGAATGGAATGATTAATTATTTAACTAGATCGCTTGACTATAAGTTGGAAGGTGCCTTACTCAGCTTCCACAAGGCTGTGCTCAAATTTATAGAGTCATACAGCAGAAAGACAGACCCTTTGGTCCAGCTCATCTGTGCCATCCAGACATCCCAATTTGACCTAGCCCCATTTGCCAGCATTTGGTCCATATCCCTCTAAACCCTTCCTATTCATATACCCATTCAGATGCCTTTTAAATCTTGTAATTGTACTCACCTCCACCACTTCCAAAGGCAACTCACTCCATATACGTACCATCCTCTGTGTGAAAAGGTTACTCCTCAGGTCCTTTGTAAGTCTTTCCCCTCTCACCTTAAACCTATCTCCCTTCCTCAGAAATGGGGGGGAAGGGAGCTCAGAAGTAGAGAGAAGGGAGTTGGGACAGGGGAAGGTAGGTGGGATGGTAATAGATGAGTGCAGGTAGCGAGTGGTGGGGATTGATCAGTGAGGTGGGAGGAACAGTTAGTGGAAGAGATGTTGGACAAGTTGTGTCAGTTGTAAAATCCACATTTAGGCCATTGGGCTGTAGGGTTCCAAGGTAAAATATGAGGTGCTGCTCCTCCAGTTTCTGTTTGGCATCATTGTGACACTGGAGGAGGCCCAGGATGGACATGTCACCCAGGGAGTGGGTGGGGGAGTTGAAATGGTTCGTGACTGGAAGGTGTGGTCATTTGTTGTGTACAGAGCGCAACCTGTCCATCTTCTCTCCCATCTATCTGCTCCTCCCATCTCACTGACCAATCCCCACCACTCCATACCTGCACTCACCTATCACCATCCCACCTACCTTCCCAGCCCCACCCCTCCTCTCTCTATCTACTTCTGAGCTCCCAGGCCCCCGCCATTTCTGAAGATGGGTCCTGACCCAAAATGTCAACTTTCCTGTTCCTCTTATGCTGCCTGGCCTGCTGTGTTCCTCCGGCTCCACACAGTGTTATCGTCAGACCATTCAGCCTCTTCATACAGCACAGAACCTCCAGTCCTGGCAACATTGTTGTAAATCCTTTCTGAACCCTCTCAGTTTTAGCAACATCTTTCCAATAGAAGGACAGCCACAATTGTATGCAGTATTCCAAGAGTGGCCTCACCAATGTCCTGTACAGCTGCAACATGAAATCCCAACTATGCATCTACATCCCCTAAGTCACTTTTCTCAGCAACACTCCACAGGGCCCTACCATTAACTGTATAAGTCTTGCCCTGGTTTGCCTTACCAGATTGCAACACCTCACCTACATCTAAATTAAACTCCATCTGCCACTCCTCAGCCCATTAGCCCATCTAATCCCATCGTACTCTGAGATAATTTTCTTCACTGTCCACAACAGCACCTATTTTGGTATCATCTGCAAATTTACTAGCCATGCCTCCTATATTCACATTCAAATCAAACGGCAATGCAGAAGCATGCAAACAAAGCACAGAGGTGAAATAAGGCTGATCCCTAATATCAAAGGATTACAGTGCAAGGTCACATTAGCTTTGGCAAGAGACAACTGAGAGGAAACTGCTTGAAAATCTGCATGCTATCAAATTTTACAGATAAAATAAAATTTTGTCCACCTTTAATGTGATAAAACACCTCAAGATATACTTAGGAATGGTTACTGCACATAATTTGCCTACAGTCAATATGAGGAAACATTAAGAGTCCAAGACCCTAGAACCAGGGTTCACAGTCTTAGGATATGGGATAGGCCATTAATGGCCATGAGGGTAATGAACCTTGAAATTCTCTATCATAGAATACTGTGGAGGCCAAGTCACTGAATATATTCAAGAAAGAGATAGATTATTTTTTAGATGTTAAAGGAATCGGGGGAATGGGGAGAACATGAGAAAATGGCATCAAGGTACAGAATCAGTCATGATCATATTGAATGATTGAGTAGCCTCAAAGGGCCAAACGATCTACTCCTGCTCCTAGCTTCTATGGATCTAAAAAAAATTAATGAGGTAAATTTTAAGGAGCATCTAAATGAAGAAAGGTGGACAGATTTAGTGAGAGATTTTCCTGAACTTAGGACCTGGGTAGCTGAAGGCTCAGACAGCAATGGTGGAGTTGAAGTTGAATAAGTTGGGGAAGTACAAAAGACTACTGCTGGACACACAGGGAGGTCACGAAGAGACCAAGACTGAAAGTGATTACAGAGGTATGGAGTGGTGAGACTATGGATGGATTTGAAAACAAGGGGTAGAATTTTAAAATTTAGGCATTGCTCGAACTTAAGTAATTAAAGGTCAATGAGAACAAGTGTGATGAGTGAACAACACCTGTACTAACAGTTACACAGATGGGTTGGGAGATGAACAGCAGATCAGGCAAAACCAGAGGAATGTTTCAAAGTGTTGTAGAATAATAAAACAAGGAACCATTAATTAAAATTAGTGGAGGCTCAACTAAGGACATTTTAGAGATAGTTTCATGACTCACAAAGTGATAAGCTTTTGGAAAAATTAAGTCTTTGATTTGGGACAATGGCAGTGAAAATCTTGGATTTAATCAAAAACTAGCAGGAACCTGGTGAAAAAGCTGGATTGTTACTTTGTGCTTGGTCCATCCAAGATGAAACAAATAATTGTCCCATGTACATCTCATTTTAATTCAACCAACTGGCTAAACCCCAAATGAAATCATTAACAAAATCTATTTTATGTACTTCCCTTTTCTAAAGAAAACAACTGCTAATGTAACTTGCGTGCAAATAGAATTGAAAGCACTTGAACGATTTTGGATACACGTTTTTTGTAAAATATTTGGTAAAAAGCACAATTATTACTTTTGTCCTATAGAGGTCGCTTTTATCTCATTATTTTGTTTCCGTCTGTCTTCAGAAAACAAACGGTGGCAAAAATATCCCGAATCGATTATTTTAGAAAAGCGCGTCTCGTAAATGATATTCGTTTCAAAAGTTTATTACCGTTTTCTGTTAAAAATAAGTTGTAAAACGTAATAAAAGATAAAAATGGGCAAAAAGTAATAACATCTTTCATTAAAAAAAACATTTTTCCAGTTGATTATAAACCGGACAGTCTAACAGGAATTTAAATCTTTAAAGTTGAGGTCTGGTAAACGTAAGAATGTTTTCATAATGAGAATATTGAAACGCAGACAATTTTCTTCAACAAACATGTAAACAGATTAACACAAAGTGATACCTTTGCCTCCTCCAACGAAAAGAAATGGATCAATGTTACTGCGTTAAGAGTGGATGCACTTTTCTAATAAATGCGCACTGACGAATGAGAAAAGAAGGACTTTGTATAATCAAGAAGGTATTGTCGAAAGGCTGAGAGGTGATTTCAAATGCAGCAGAGCTGTGTTTAGTATGATTAATTCTCCAGAAAGGTCGCTTTGTTGCAAGACGATAAAACGAAAGCAAAATCGATAAACTCTCTCATGTTTGTATACTGTTTTAATGCATTTGGATAGTGCTTGCCAGTGTCTCACTTCCTTTCACAAAACACTAAGACGGAGCGTTTGGACTCTGAAGGCTGCGAAAGCGAGACTCTCATTATGCATTGAATACACTTTTTGTTTAAATCATTACAGTTTAGCAATGTTCCTGTCACTTGCAAAACTGTCTGCATTAATATGCGCATTGTTCCCTTTGCATAAAGAACGAGTCAGCATTAATTCGATTGCACTCTGCTGTCCAGCTTTATAACTCAAATATACGGATCTTGATCTTTAGAGCCTGTATTTGGCCAATGAAGAAACAGTTCAGTAGTGTGTTCAACAAATGTCATTTTTATCCCGCGCCACTTGAAATCAGACTGATTAAGATTCTGAAAATTGCATGAAATGTTCAGAAATCTTTAGCGCACATTGTAAAAATCGTTCCTGGAAGTGTTTACGGGTCGTTCCAGCTATTCAAATGCAAATTAAAACCTTTCCATGCTTGAATGTCCCTGCCAGGGGGCTGCAATCAACCTCAGAAAGCACCGATTTTTAAAAAAAGTTTCTTTTGAAAACTTCTATCCGTTTAGTTCGAACGATCTGTCCCCGTTATCAGCCTACTCCAGGATTAAGTCAGTTGCATCCAGGAACCGACATCACAGGGACAACATCACAGAGCTGCGTAAATAGGATTAGAAAACAAATAGGTAACAGTCCGCGTATGCAATTAGCTCAAAATGATCATGCATCACATTTACATTGGAAATTAAATAAAACCTCCCTTTTTTAATAATAATAAAAGCGCAGGATATAGTTTCCGCATTTCGTTCAATTCCTCGTTTCTCCTCTTTGCCAGTGTGTGTGTGTGTCAGGTATGAATCATAGCTGTTCAGGGAGTTGCGGTAAATTTGAACATATCTGCTACCCAAGCAGCTGATGCATGCTGATGAAACTGACAAGCAGCGACCAGATTCTTCAGGGACGTGTCGAGACAAGATGGACCTGCTCACAAAATGTGCCGTTTTTTATTTGTTTGCTCGCTGATCTGCCACAATGCAGGAGAGGGGCGAATTAACATGTTCTTTTACTCTAGTCGCTTCCATTCAGGTTCTGTCTGGTGCCTTTGGAGCAATCACTTCTAAATCACTCTTAGTGTGCATTACGGGTTATTGGTTATTTGCAGTTTGCACTGTTTCCGTGAATCATTGATCAATTTAGCGATTTATTATCCAGTGTTTAATACACTGAGCCACATACTCGCAATGTGATTGGTTAATGTTTATTGCCTGTTCTGTCCCATATATAATGGCTACAAAGATTGTTAACAAATGCTGTACTTGGTCAATGGTTCGTGAATACATTTTGATCTCAAGAGATGACCAAAATGTTGTCTTACATGGGCCAATAGATAGCTGTGATTTACTTATTAATTAAAGATGAAAGGGATTTATTGACCGAAAATTCTTGCGCAGCGTGACTTAAAGGGATGGAGAATATGGTAGAACTGGAATTCCTGTTTCAGCAATAAAAGTGCGATGGAACCTCCATTAGGAGGAGCTTGTGGTGTGAATTCAAGTTTCGGTCAGTTTACAGTAGCTGTTCAGTACGGGCGCATCAACCCGGACTCAACCGTGTATGCTGTAGGTGTCAGTACGAGTGTTCACAAAATATTTGACTTCTTCTGCTGACTTAACCTCCTTCCTGAGTTCCTATCCGAGTCAGCATTAAGACCGTGCAGTCAACCTGATGTGCGTGGTACCTTTTACGGTAACCCAATAAGTCTGAACTTGTGATCACGTAATCCTAGTGAAATTAGTGAGAGAGGGAGAGAGAGAGACGATAGCAGTAACAAACGGCAGCGGTCTCAATCCGCACAATGCCGTCTCACTGGAGAAGTGTGTGTATTTGTGTTGGCGGGACAACTCCAAACAAGTCTGCGATCTTTCTGCACACTTTGGCTTCTCTCTCCAAGCCGCGTCTTTCCAATTTCTCGCCGCGTCTGAACTCATATTCTTCAAACGGTTTCTGATTCTGTAACAATTTACAGACAGAATAACTCCGCAACCTGAGAATTGGGCACGGCTGGGCAGGAAAAAGCCGGATGATTTGTTAGATTTTGCGGTTAATTGTGCGCGATTTTCGTTTTATTTACTGCTACTGCAGATTGTGAAACGTTGCCTGTTTATCAGACCTGCTTCAGTCTTCATCTACATATATCTGCGGTCAAAGCGGCTGCTTTTTTTTAATATCCCTTCCATATGAATTGAAATGCAAGTTCTTGAAGCGCCCTGACTTCAATTAAAAGCAAACACAATTACACTGGGTCGTGCCTGGAATACAAGTTCGACACTTGCATCTATTAATCATGAGATCCTGCTAGTCGCTATTTAAATGAATTTCAAGTTTGACTGTCAGCTGCATTGGGAGCTAAGCCCTGTTTATTCACAGCTCCTAATCTCACATATGTAGCCCTGTATCTAAGGTCAAACACAATCGTTTTTAATGGGATAAATAGAAACAAACTCTCCCCCAAACATGCCGTTATTAAAAGACGGTTTCTGGAAGTGTGTGGACCGGAGCAGAGACTTGTTGGAAAAGGGGGATATGTGCAACTCTGCTCACGGTCAGATCAGTACCTCAGGCGTGAAGCCCAATTCTCGGAGATGCTAGCCTTTTCTTCACTAATGGAAATGAGGGTTCCCAATACCTTAAATTGTGAGAATGTTGAATAAGCAATTTCTCCAGACCTCGGAGAATGTGCACTCGCCTCCCCCACCGCAAACCCCCACATTATATAGACAATTTTTACAAATCAGCTGTTTGCGCGTTCCTCCCGCTGCCCCCATAGAGATGAGCAACTGTGATTAGAACTCAGGATGTGTGAAAGGACGATAACAAAAGGACAAATGGAAGCCGTTGTTTCAGGGCCCCTGAATTTGAAATGATCTTATTGATCTGCTTTGCATCACGATCTGCCGCTTCCGCACTTAAAGGCTGGTCATTTTTTTATGTCAAATTTCAACGGTGTCAACCTTTTAAATAAAATGGGGAGGTGGGTAACTATCTTTCATTTAATGTATTAATCTTTGCGCCAGGAGTAATAATTGTTCCCATGCACCGAGGAACACCAGCACTTTACATGTCCCCTTAATCTTTGTGAATGTTTTGAAGGAGAAATAAAATAAAGGAAGAAGGCACCCATCTGTTTTATTTAGTCAGTTTGTCGTTTCGTTTGCTTCTTAAAACTTCCCCTAACCAACGTCTTTTCTTCCCCTGTAAGGATTTCAAGCAACTTTGGCGCACTCAATCATAGTGTTTTAGTTGAGTAATCTTAGCAAGATCAGAGAGCGGACCCGCATAATGGATGTTATAAATTCGACCCCGCTGCTGCTAATCACGTCTATGCTGTCTGATTCCTATTTCTGTATAGAATTCAGATTCGGGAATCGATCCTGTGTAGTTGTTCGCTCGAATTGAGTGTGTGAGTTCGTGGTTACAATATCCCTTGGCTAAGGTAGAATTTCCCAGCCGGAGAGCCAGTGGTGTAAAAAGCTGACCTGGTTCCTCTGCCCTGGTGTGTTTTTAATAACTTTGGTACTTCTTGTTGTTTTCATATAAAATTACAGAGGGCTCGGGGGCTGTGTACTGTTTTCTCGCCGGGTGTGAACGCAGATTTTCCAATTGCAGATGTAATCAGCAAAATTGATTACCCTATTACCAAAAACAAAGAGTCGATGGAGCTGAATGGGTAAAATCATCTGACCGATACATATTGGTGGTTTGGAAGTGACTAGAGTGCAGGATGTCTGAAAGGTCTCTGTAGGGACCCACATAAAAGACTCCTTTGCTGTATAGAGGGAGGCACGTTGTGTATGGAATCTGATGTAGCTGCAAAGTTGATCTCTTGACTTTGAACAATGATGCTGACAATGTACTGAAGGATGGACTTGCATTAGTTTATTGTGTGTGCGGAGGGGGGTGCGAGGGGGCGTTTTCAGTTTGATTGGTATGTTTTTTTTAAAGTGGGGGCAGGTTAATCGTGGTACTGCCTGGTTATCATATTCAACGGTGGGTGGATTTCTGCTGCCCTAAGTGATTGCTACTTGGCGAGTTGATCCCTCTGTGTTTCCACAAAATTGCAACTAACAGATCCGAGAAGTGATTTATTTGTAAACTCGGCCCGGCTCGGCTCCGCAACTCGCTCTCTCCTTGGCTGTGCGGAGCCAAAAGAAGCTGCTCGCTTGTCTCTCTCTCTCTCTCGGTGCGAGTGGATAGGGTGCTATTTGATTTATTCCTGGCTGGAAAGTTAATTGCTCCGCCCCCGGGATACCGTGTGACATGTCATTCCTCCTTTTGATGTTTATGTGTGTGTTATGTGTGTGTGTGTGTGTGTTTGTCCGACAGTCTTTCGCCTTCTCTCCGCTTCTCTCTACAAAAAAATAACAATAATAACAACTTCAACAGCCGAGTGGAGGAGCCGAGAGCAACTTTGATCAGTCACAAAACCCACCTTTTCTTTTAAATGAACGTGTGTTGATTCCTGTTCTTGTTCAAGAGGAGAAATACAGTGGGGATTTTTTTTTGTCTTTTTTTCTTTTCCCCCAATTTTTCTATGTTCCAGCAACCATGGCCGTTCCGGTTGCACTGATCCCACCAGCTCCGGTGAATCAGACCCCAATCTCGACCCCTTCATCCTCCTCATCTTCCTCCTCTTCATCCTCTCCTGCAATCACTTCCTCGACGGCCGGAGCTGCAGCGGGAGCAGGGCCAGGGACAGCGGGGACAGCACAGAGTTTATTCCGGGCGGACGGCGGCACGAAACCGGTTTATTCTACGCCGTCTCCGGTCGAGAACACGCCGCAGAACAACGAGTGCAGGATGGTGGAGCTGCGGGGGGCCAAGGTGGCCTCGTTCACCGTGGACGGACACGAGCTGATCTGCCTGCCCCAGGCCTTCGACCTCTTCCTCAAGCACCTGGTCGGCGGGCTGCACACCGTCTACACCAAGTTGAAGAGGCTGGATATAACGCCCGTGGTCTGCAATGTGGAGCAAGTGCGCATCCTGCGGGGCCTGGGCGCCATCCAGCCCGGGGTCAACCGCTGTAAACTCATCTCCAGGAAGGATTTCGAAATCCTCTACAACGACTGCACCAACGCCAGGTAAGAGAGAGAGAGTGTGTGTCCCGGGCTACGCTATCATCTGAGCGGGCAATGGTCAGTGAGGCGGGTAGGAGGGGGTGGGGGGTGGGGGTGTGGGGGGAGGTTGACAGAGAGGCTCCTAGTGACCAGAGAGAGACCAACACGGCCATCCAGGGCACAATTCGGGCTCAGGGATAGTGGACAATGAGCCCTCACTTCAACAACTCCCCGCAACTTGGCTTCCCTGGTAACTCTCTCGCCCTCCGCAGCAAACAAAAAAAACCTTTAACTCTTACGTTCCTAGCAGCAGAAATTTAAGTTCGGTTAAAGAGAAAAGCGAGAACATTTTTTTTTTGAAACGCTGATAAAAGTAACAGCTCTTTGTGCCCAGTTACAAAGGTTAAAGATGAGTTGTTCCCCTATCTTCCTCCTCATCTCACTTCTCCTCATTCTCCTCCTCATCCCTCCCCATCCTTCCTTCCTTATTTCCCCTTCTCATCGCCTCCCTCTTCATCTCCCCTTATCT